ACGCAGTGGATTACCTTTGTTTTTGAAGGGAATGCTCCCACCGATCTACCTAAATGCATTGTTCGCGCGAATCATTCGTGATCCAGCCTCACCTACAGAAGAAGTGAGAATAAGGTTATTTTATGAATCTTTGCAAATCGCCTTTCCTAATAACGTACTAGTTAGCAAGTTCTGTAGCTAAAGTAAACAGTATCATGAGAACGGCTCGTCACCCCACGGAAGAGAGGGGCGGGGTCAGCAGAGCTCATTAGCATTTAAAGGAACACGGAATAAACGGCTTGCTGAAAACAGAGCTGATTTTGACAGGGTAAAAAGGGTGTTGTTTTACACTACCATTGAGACATTTTAACCAAAGTATGTTATAGACTTTTCATTAAGACCCTAAAGAATCATATCAACTTGGGCATCTGATGACCCCTTTAAGAGCACTCGTATACCTACATTAAAATTAGGGGTGCTCCAATCATGATTTTTGAGGCCGATCACCGATCGCCGATCACAGAAAGCAGTATCTGCCGATACTGATCACCGATACCGATCTTTTTAAAGCCTTCTTTTTATAATTTATAACTATTTATAGTGATACTTCAATCAGGATTTTTAGACATTTAGGCCCAGTCCCAATTCTACCCCTTAGCCCTTCCCATTTCCCCTACCCCTCCGTTTCGCGCGTTCACGTGAAGGGGTAGGGGTGTCTCAATTCTCTTTTGGTTGGAGGGGTAGGGGTAGGGGAAGGGCCAGTCAGCCCTTCAAACGAAGATTTTTCGGGACCACACTTCAAACGAAGGGGTATGAATTATCTCAGCATAAACCGGCTTCAGGGGCAACATGGCTGCCCGAGCGAACAAAAAGACACATAAATGTACGCATTTTTGGCATTAATAAAGATTTTAACGAAAAGTAATCATTTGTTTTATGTTACATTCAATTGTGAGTTCATATTTATGGTCATGTTACACAAAGAAACGTTTGCAAAAAAATTGCTAATATTTGCTAACTAACGTCATATCATTATAGACTGCACGATAGTGCCACAACATATTTTCATGTCTGATCAGGGCGATAACCACCGTGGACATTGAGAAATCATCAATAATTAGAAATTACTAAACCCTTTTCTCAAATATTGCCAATTCGAGAGAGAGAGAGAGAGAGAGAGAGAGAGATGAAAGATGCGTGTATGCGCGTCTTTTCTCCTGGATGTGTGAGCTGCGCGATCTACGATATATATCTACATACACATCGTGTGTGTGTGTGTGTGTCAGTAAGCAGCGCATTAATATAGAACGGAAATTAAAGGCTCTAATGCACACCAGCACACCAGTATAGGAGTGTGTATTGTAGGAGCTCGATGACGG